TCCCCAAACCTGTTACTACCTTGATCCTCAGCTTCTGTAGCTGCGTTTCTGTTCTTGCATTGGTGACTTCTTGGTTCCTCAGTCTCGGCTCACTCTGGTCTGTAGGATCAGTCCTGGTTTCATTCTGGGGAAGCAGTGCTAAGTCAGATCTTACACTGTTTCTCTGACTCTGATTTTTTGCCCTAGGTCTGTTAACTACTTGGTTTCTGTTTGTTCTAAGACTTTCCAGTTTGTGTATGTCTTGGGATTATTGGGATGATTTCTCTTTCTTCCCAAGTTCTTCCTTTTGTCCATATGGAAGAATCTCTCTCTAAAGTAAAAACAAGTGTATTATGTCTGATGATGCACAGAGAGGTGCCTGTGTAATTTTTCATGCTAATTAGGCAGCAGAGCATCAACCCAGTTTCATCTGTCTCTACTGTAACCACTGTTCACAGCTTTTATTAAATCATTGCCCTTTACAGGGTCACCACAAAAGTAAATCAGACATGTCTTTTGAAGTTGTTCCTTTGCCACATAAAGACAGTATCAGTTTTCAAATTATGAGACATTCAGACAACTCAAAATGTAAACAGAATAATGTAACTTAACCTTGACCATACCACTGAGATTTAACAAATGTTAACAAGTTTCCATTTTTGCTTCATATTTTTTAAAGAAGTGTTAAGTGTAGAGTGAAATAGAAACCATCTCAAAAAATGAATGTTGTTGTTAGCTCCCGTCCAGTTGGCCCCCGATTCATGGTGACCCCATGCAGAACGGAACGAAACACTGCCCGCTCCTCCACCGTCCCCATGATTGGTTTCAGATCATACCATTGTGAACTGTAGGTTTTCATGGTTGATTTTTTAAAGTAGAACACCAGGCCTTTCTTCCTAGTCCATCTTAGTCTGGAAGCTCTTCTGAAACCTGTTAAGCATCATAGTAACATGCAAACCACCACTGACAGACAGCTGGGGCTTAACCTGAGGTGTATTGTCTGGGAATTGAACCCAAGTCCCCCACGTGGAAGGCTAGAATTCTACCACTGAATTCTAAAAACGCATAGCACAGATTAAATGTAGTAGGTCAGAGTTCATCATGACTGGTCCTGTGTATGTTTTCATCTTTATTTTTTGCCAATCCTTTCTCTTTAATCTGAAGTTCTTATGATAATGAACTGCTTCCATTTTCCTGAATGCTCACTTTTTCAAAGAATTTGTTGAAATGCCTTTCCTCAGTTTGTCTACCTGGCACATTTACGCATACTTCATTGAAGTCTCAAACCTTAATTTGTCAAAGCTGCCTCAATTTCCTAAGGCCCACTTAGCCATCTTTTTTCTGTATCTTTCACTAAACTTGTATATTTCTGATACAGCAATAATCCTATGGTATTGTCTGTAAATTAAGCACTTTAAAAGTAAGATGAAATGTCTTTTTGACTTTGTATCTTGGGCTCTGTGCCTGGTCTTCAGCAGACATTCAGTAAATGTTTGGATGAATGGATTAATAGTGTAAAGAAAGAAGGAAGATGTAAATGAAGCGTGGGTCATGGGTCTCATCTGACCCGACTTGAATTGACATGTAGCTAGTTGTCACAACCATGCCACTTTTCCCGTTTTCCAGATATTTGCACTGTGTAATAAGGTAGTCATCAGCTGCATGTGACTATTTAAATTAGTAAAATAAAATAAAATTTGTTTCCTCTGTAGCATGCCACATTTCAGGTGCTCAGTAACCACAGTGCAGATATAGAATATTTCTGTCATTGGGCAGCATGGCTATAAATGCAGAATTCCCTTTTTGAAGAGGTGGTGGCTAATGCATGCTTATTTTCTCCACTTTTTAAAGCACTGCTGTGATACAAACACACTCAACTTGAAACCAAACCTGTTGCCATTGAGTTGATTATGACTCATAGCGACCCTACAGAACAGAGTAGAATTGTCCCATAGGATTTAAAGGCTGTATTCTTTACAAAAGCAGCCTTCCACATCTTTCTCCTGTGGAGTGGCTGGTAGGTCTGAACGGCTAATCTTCAGGTTAGCAGCTGAGTGCTTAACCACTGCATCACCAGGGCCCCTTAACACACACACACACACACACACACACACACACACACACTCTCTCTCTCTCTCTCTCTCTCTCTCTCTCTTCAAATCTACTAAAAGGTGAGAATTCGAAAACCTGGCATGTTACTCTGTACAAACTTTCCAGCCTCTGTGGTAGATTCTGATTAAATAAATGTATGTTGAATGGTATTGTATTTCCACTTTCCCAAAGCCAACCTTTGAAACGGTGAAAAAATAAATACAATATCAGATTTCTTGTCACCCAACATTTCAGTTTTTATTTCTCTACTTCAGAATAGTTTGAAATTGCTTTTATTCTACAGGTATTGCAATCTTTTAGTCCTAATTTTGTTTTGAAAAATTTCAGACCTCCATAGAAGTTAAAAGAATTGTATTGTGAACACATATATCCTTCCCCTAGATTTACCAATTATTTAACGTTTTGCACCACCTCCTCTCTACACTTTTTTGGGGAACCATTTGAAAATAAATCATAGATTTATTTTTATGAAAGTTCACTGTTAAATACAGGTAGTCCCTGACTTACGACGTGTTCGAGTTACCATGAACCACGTTTACAACTGTTGTTTTGATTTTTTGTACGTCTCATCGTTAGTAATATGTACTGTATACAATGTTGCAGCACGAAATTTACTGATGTTATCATTCGCAGATGTTCAGTTTTGTGATTTACTGTTCAAAACACTGCCGTATAGGTTTAGTTTTTTAAACTAAATCAGGGGCTTCAGTTGCTTGAGCACATGGACCCAAACGCTGATCACTTTGCTAAAGCTGACAGGCAGATTTGGGAAGCAGTGAGATGTTACTGTGAAATATAGGAAGAAAAAAGAAAAGGACCATGCAGACAATGCTCACTGATTTTCTGCCTAGAAACGCCATCCCCATTCCCAGGGATAATCTAGATGATCCAGAACCTTCCACAAGTGGAGTTATTACTGCAACTGACAAAATCCCAATGTCATCCAAATTTTCTTTATTGTCCGAGTAAATTTTTATGATTTGTGTATTTTTTTATGTATGTATTAAAATATATCTAAGTTTATATGTAATGCTTCTAATCCCCCAAAGGAAATAAAGATTGGATTTATAAAGATACTGATAATAAAAGGCAATAATAATGAACACTTAAAAAAAATAATGAGGTATTCGATTTACGTCAGAACCGACTTACGACCGTCATTGAAACAGAACCCCATTGTAAGTTGGGGACTACCTGTACTTAAATGCATAACTCCTAAGAATTTTTACATTTTCCTAAGTATCAATAATAACGTTTCAAGCCCCTAAAAATTAACATCAATTTATTAATATTGTTTAATATTACAATCTGTAATCATAGTTCTTCAGTTGTCCTGAAAATATCTATTTGCATTTAATATTTATGTCTCTTTTAGTGTCTTATTTTATACCAGACTTCCCCATCCCCAACTCTCTACCTTTTCTGCTTTTTAATAATATCATTGCCTTTTTCTCAAGAGTCTAGGTTAGTGACTTGTAGACTGTCCCACATTGTGGATGTGTCTGATTGTTTACTCTTGATTAGATTCAGTTTAGACGTTACTTGGCGAGAATACCGCATCAGCGAAGCTGGGAATTGGTGCGTCACAACAGGTGGCTTGTAGTACCAGGTTGTTCTCCTATTGGTAATGCTAAGTTTGACCGCTTGATAAATGGGTAGATGAAGTGGTGATCAATAGAGCTCTTTGGTTTAAAGGCATGTTTTTACTTTATAATTAATAAGTAATCTATGGGCCGATACTTTCAGAGACTCTGAATGTCCTGTTCCCACACAACTTTTACCCAGTGGCTTTAGTACCCACTGATGCTTCTTGCCTAAATCAGTTTATATATTTGGGGCTGTAAAATGGTAGTTTTTAATTCTGTTATTTGTCACAGCGATTGCAATCTTGACCTCTAATAAAAACTTACAATTTAAAGCAGAGTAGTTATGTCAGTGTAGGTAGGTTATCCATAACTCCTTCCTTCTACCTGCCAGTTTAAATTTGTTTTGTAGTATTTAACTAGTATTTCCAATGAAATAGGCCACTAGTGTCCCGTTTAGGTTCTAGATTTTCTTAAGAAACTACTGGCAGTGTTTCTAATTTGGAATATTCCATTTACGAGCAACTTAGGGATTTTTCCATGCTTCCCTCCTCACCCAAGTCTTGGCATTTTATTTTGCCAGTTCACTTAATTGTGATTACTAGAATGAATCGTAGAATGTTTATGGAATAAGGAAGATCTTAGCAAGGGAGAAGTGTGTACAACTTTGAGAGAGTGGAATAAACTTTTAAATGATCAATTTGAACTGTTATTTAGAAATAGAACCAATTCAATTATGGATAAATTTTTAATTATGAAGGGAAAACAAGTGATGATAAAATAACTAGTCGTTTGTAAAACATTCACTTGAAAAAATTTAAACTCAGTCTGTTTTTACCATGTCATGAAGCATGCTTCTAGATCACTTTCTCTTGAGGCCAGTTGGTATTCATGGACAGAATTCAAGCCAAATATAATATTATATTGTCCTAGCTGTAGTTCAGATTGAGGGGGGTTTGTACATTTGCCATGTAGGAAATTTAATATGTCTGAAGGGAAAGCTGTAAGTTAACAAATGAGTAAATTTCTGATTTAAGGTGTTTTATATATCTAAAGTGGGAAAGGTTGGGTAAGTTAAATCAAGAATAAAGAATGATTATTTTTCTTTTTTAGAATTTACAAACCATGCATATGAAGAAAAGCTAGAGATTTTTATTGAGGAAGAACTTAGAAACGTGCCAGGTTTTAATACTAGCATCCCATTCTCATGGGTGCCCTTATAGCATTTACGCCTTTTATTAATTATGACAATTAATTTGTCACTTACAAGATAATTGGTAATATCCAAATGTGTGACAGTAATGACATCTTTTCATTGTGTTTTAGGCTATCCCCATAAATACGGTCCAAAGGGAGGCTGTGCAGATCATTCAGTGTTTGAAAGGATGAGGAAATACCAGGTGACCGGTGTAGAGGAAGTGACGCTGGTAAGGATTTGAAGGCTGGCTTATGTTTAAGAAATGGAAATGAATTGGGGCATATATTCCTGCATTTAAAAATGTATGTTCTAGAATTTCAGAAAGATTTGTACCACTGTAGAAAAATATATATATTTTTAATTCTCAGAGAGGCTAGGTAACTTGCTTATAATAAAGAGATGGTGCTGAGAATAGAATACAAATCTGCTTTACTCGAAAAACATCGATTACATGTCCTCAGTATACTCTGTCTTGTATATTTTATCATAAAAGAAAAAAAAACTGAATCTGAACTTGTTTTATATAAATATAACTATCTATATTAATGTAAAATTAGGGTGACCAACTTGCCCTGGTTTGCCTGGAACTTCCCCGGTTTAAACACTGACAGTCCCGTGTCCCTGGGCCAACCGGAATAAAAACCAGTGTGCTTTTGATACATTAATTGTAATTTTTTTCACCATTTGACTGTTGTTCTTTTATTCAGTTTTTTTTGCCTCTTCCTTCTTTTAGTCATAGGTGACAAGTTTATAGTATTCAAAACATAAATTTGAATAAAATTTTTTTCTTTTATGATAAAACATTTATAATATATTTTGGACATCCTTTCTAAATGTAGTAGGATGGAGTAATATTTTTTGAGTCATGTAAATTTGTGTTTAAATCTGTTTCTTGATCTGTAAAATGGCATACACAATTCTATTTCAGGTGGATCTTTTGAGTGTTAAGTGAGATTTTATTCTTGCATTCACTGAACAGATATTTATTGATCTTCTGCCATATATCAGAGACTCTGGTAGGTTCTGGGCATACTGTGAGATTAAGGTGAAAACTTGTCCTCAGAAACCTCATAGTTTAATTGGAGACACAGATAAACGGTACAGAGTAGTAAGAAATGTAAAAGGATTAAGTACAGGGTGATACTCTATGTGGAAGAGGAATGGCTAACCTAACCTTGAAATCATTTGAGGACAATCATCAGAAGCTGAAAGAATAAGCAGGAATTAGGTTGGCTATGAAGAGGTAGAAAGAATATTCCAAGCAGGAGGAACATACAAAGTCCAGAGAGACAGAAAGACTAATAAAGAATCTTTAGCTTGGAGAGATGGGTGGGATGTTGGCTTAGTTTTCTAGTACTGCTCTAACAGAAATACCACAAGTGGATGGCTTTAACAAAGAGAAGTTTATTTCCTCGCAGTAAAGTAGGCTAAAAGTCCAAATTCAGGACATCAGCTCCAGGGGAAGGCTTTCCTCTCTCTGCCGGCCTTCTCTTCAGTCTTCCTCCGGATTAGGAGCTTCTCCGTGCGGGGACCCCCGGGTCCAAAGGACTCGCTATGCTCCCGGCACTGCTTTCTTGGTGGTATGAGGTACCCCATTCTCTGCTTGCTTCTCTTTCCTTTTATCTCTTGTAAGATAAAAGGTGATGCAGGCCACACCCCAGGGAAACTCCTTTACGTTGGATCAGGGATGTGACCTTAGTAAGGGTGTTACAATCCTACCCTAATCCTCTTTAAACATAAAATTACAATCACAAAATGGAGGACAGCCACACAGTACTGGGAATCACGGCCTAGCCAAGTTGATACACACATTTTTTGGGGGGATAAAATTCAATCCATGACAGATGTGCAGGACTAGAGACTGGGAGACTAATTTGAAGTTGTTGCGGTTATTCAGTTGAGAAGTGATAGTGGCAGTGTTGGCAGAGGGAACAAGCCTACAGATTGCTAGATATAATAAGAGTGTTTAGCAGGGTGTCTAGCTATAATGATATGCAAAAGTAAGTTGTATTTCTTTATACCAGCAACAGACTACCAGAAATTTAATGAAAGAGAGCACAGGGACCCCTTGAGTCTTAGCTGAATACCAAGTTCTGCATGCATAGGGTGAGATTCTACAAGAAAACTACCAGAGAAAGGAAAACTACTGGAGAGTCAATGAACTGAATAACTATCAGAAATTATACTTGGGAGAGACCCCATGCCATACTAGGAGTAGGGCTAACCTAGCCTTGGAGTAAAGGCTACTCCAGATCTGCCCTAATTAAGGTGAAAAACAAGCTTCAAAAGGATCAAGATAGTTTTCAAGTAAATTAGCTGCCTGTCAGAACAAAGCTTAATAATACTTATTAATAACAGCAACAAAAAAACCCAAATCCGTTGCCGTCGAGTTGATTCCGACTCATAGCGACCCCATAGGACAGAGTAGAACTGCCCCATAGGGTTTCCAAGGAGCGACTAGTGGATTCGAACTGCTGACCTATTGGTTAGCAGCCATAGCTCTTAACCACTACGCCACCAAGGGCACAAAATCTAGATACTCAACAATGTAACATTCACAATGTCCAACATTTTTCAAAAAGCATTACTGGATGATAAGAAGCCGAAAAAATTGATCCCATTAGTCAGTAGAAAAACCAGCTGGTAGAAACAGAACCTGAAACTACAGACGTTAGCAGAGAAGAACTTTAAAATGATGACAATCGATATGTTCAAAGAATGAAAGAAAAACCTGAACACAGAGGAGATCATAGAAATGGTAAGAAAGAACCAAATGGAGCTTCTAGAGCTGAGAAATATATTATCTGAATTAAAAAAATTCACTGGATGGTCTTAAGAACAAATTAGTCACTGCAGAAGACAACATGAGTAAACATGAAGAAAAGCCAATAAATTTATAGAAATTATCCAGATTGAAGCCCAGAGAGAAAATAATTGGAGTCCAGGGGGAAGGAGGTACAGAAAAATATTTGAAAAAATAATGCCACCACCCCAATTTTTCAGATATGAAGAAATATTTCAGTCTGTGGTCTGAGAAGCTCAGTGAAACCAAAGCAGGATAAACACAAAGAAAAGCATACCAAGGCATATTATAATTGGAGTAATTGGAGTACCTTGGTCTGGGACTTCCAGGCCAAACCCTGGGGATTTTGTGCTGGCAAGTGGGGACTGGCTGAACCAGAAAAAGCTCACCTAGGAGGTCGATACCAGCTAGTCTTAGGAGGCATGATTTAGCTTATCGTGCAGGACTGGCCAATAAAAGCTGTGAAAACTAAGGCTCAGAGAGCTTCCTGGTTGGAGAGGGGAGGGTGCCTTGCCCTCTCTGAGACACAGCAGCTCCACATTGGGAATCTTTCCAGACTTTGTCTGTGCATCTCCTCCTTATGATGATCCTTTTATTATACTAAAAGGTATGTTTTGAAAGTGTTTAAAAGTATAGGAATTGCTTGAATAAATAGTATATTACCTATACAGTAGAGTATTATAAGACTGAAAGTGATGTTCATGAAGAATTTTTAATGACGTAGGGGAAATACCTGTGGTGTTATGAGATAAAGAAAAATATGAGATTTTTAAAATGATATATATTAACTATAAGGAACCCTGGTGGCGCAGTGGTTAAGCACTTGGCTTCTAACTGAAGGGTCAGTGGTTCAAACCTACCAGCCACTCCACAGGAGAAAGATGTGAGTCTACTTCCATAAAGATTTACAGCTTTGGAAATGCTATGGAGCAGTTCTACCCTGTCCTATAGGGTCGCTATGAGTCGGAATCGACTCAATGACAGTGAGTATTCTTAACTGTATAAAATTATAATAAAACATGCTAATTATCAGAAATTGCTCTTTTTGCCTTGTAGATGCCTCAGAGAGAACATGCTGCTAATGGTCCAGAACTCCTGAGAAAAAAACGTACAACTTCTGCTGAAAGAAATACTTGTCAACTTTTTATTCAGACTGATCATCTGTTCTTTAAATATTATGGAACACGGGAAGCTGTGATTGCCCAGGTATTTATAATTTTGCTACTATTTTAGGAGTTCTCATGCTCTTGTATTGTTTAACTATATAACTTCATCTAAAAAGTAAAGTTAATGCATATCTCTTTTGGGGATTAGGCTGTTTTTCTTCTAATCTCAGCTCCAACAAAATAAGGAGCCCTGATGGTGCAATGATAAAGCACTCTGCTGCTACCTGAAAGGTCAGTGGTTTGAATCCACCAGTGACTCCAGGAGAAAAGACCTGGCGATCTGCTCCTGTAAATTACAGCCTAGCAAGTCCTGTGGGGCAGTTCTACTCTGTCTTAATAGGGTTGCTTTGAGTTGGAACAACAACAAGCTTGTAGGGATCTTCTCTATCGTGTTCACAACTGTATTCCCAGGTGATTGAGGAAACAGTTTTTTTTTCCTGTTTACAGCACAAATTAGTTTCTCATTCAAAAACGTATACATAAATTATTTTGTGACATTGGTTACAATCCTTGCAATATGTCATCACTCTCACCCTTTCCGCCCCACGTTCCCCATGTCTGTTCGTTCAGTTTTCCTGTCCCTTCCTGCCTTCTCATCTTTGCTTTTGGGCAGGTGTTGCCCATTTGGTCTTGTATACTTGACTGAACTAAGGAACATGTTCCTCATGTGTATTATTGTTTGTTTTATAGGCCTGTCTCATCTTTGGCTAAAAGGTGGACTTCTGGAGTGGCTTCAGTTCTGAGTTAGCAGGGTGTTCGGAGGTTTCTCCAGTCTCTGTCAGACCAGTAAGTCTGGTCTTTCTTTGTGAATTTGAATTTCATGCTACATTTTTCTCGTGGTCTGTCCAGGACCTTCTTTTGTGATCCCTGTCAGAGCAGTTGGTGGTGGTAGTTGGGCACTATCTAGTTCTTCTGGACTCAGGCTGGTGGAGGCCGTGTTTCTTGTGGTCTGTTAGTCCTTTGGACTAATATTTTCCTTGTGTCTTTGGTTTTCTTCATTCTCCTTTGCTCTGAACGTGGTGGGACCAGTAGATGTATTTTAGATGGCCACTTGCAAGATTATAAGATGCTACTCACCAAAGTGGTATATAGAACATTTTCTTCATGAACTATATTATGCCAGTTGACCTAACGTCTCCCATGGTCCCCAGCCCTCAGCCTCAGTAACTTGGTCCTTCAAGGTGTTTTGATATGTGCAGGAAGCTTCTATGGTTTTGCCTTGGCCAGATTGTGCTGACTTCCCCTATATTGTGTGTTGTCTCTCCCTTCACCGAAGTTAACACTTGTCTACTATCTAGTTAGTGATTTCCCCTCCACACCCCTTCCCTCCCTCGTAACCATCACAAATGTGTTTTTTTCTGCGTGTAAACCTTTTCTTGGGTTTTTATAATAGCAAAGTCTCATGCAATATTTGCCCTTTTTGATTGACTTATTTCATTCAGCTTAATGCCCTCCAGATTCATCCATGTTTTGAGATGTTTTGTGGATTCATCATCCTTCTTTAATGTTGTGTAGTATTCCATTATGTGTATGTACCATAATTTGTTTATCCATTCATCTGTTGATGGGCACTTAGGTTATTTCTGTTTTTTTGCTATTGTGAGTAATGCTGCAGTGAACATGGGTATGCATATGTCTATTCATGTGATGGCTCTTATTTGTCTAGGATATATTCCTATGAGTGGGATTGCTGGATCGTATGGTATTTCTATTTCCAGCTTTTTAAGGAGGTGCTATATCATTTTCCGTAGTGGTTGTACCATTTTGTATTCCCGCCAGCAGTGCATAAGAGTCCAGTCTCCTCGCAGCCTCTCCAGCACTTGTTATTTTCTTTTTTTTTCCTTCTGATTCATGCCAGCAATGTTGGGGTAAGATGGTATCTCATTGTAGTTTTGATTTGAATTTCTCTAATGGCTAATATTCAAGAGCATTTCCTCATGTGTCTGTTAGCTACTGCCTGAATGTCTTCTTTGGTGAAGTGTCTGTTCATATCCTTTGCCCGTTTTTTAATTGGATTATTTGTCTTTTGCTATCGAAGTGTTAAAGTATTCTATAGATTTTAGAGATTAGACCCTTGTTGGATACATCGTAGCCAAAATTTTTTTCCCAGTCTGCAGGTTCTCTTTTTACTCTTTTGGTGAAGTCTTTTTATGAGCATAGTGTTTAATTTTTAGGAGCTTCCAGTTATCTAGTTGGTCTTCTGGTGTTTGTGCATTGTTAGTTACGGTTTGTATTCTGTTTATGCCATGTGTCAGGGCCCCTGGCGTTGTCCCTATTTTTTCTTCCATGATCTTTATCGATAATTTTAGGTTTTATATTTAGGTCTTTGATTGATTTTGAGTTAGTTTTTGTGTATGATGTGAGGTATGGATCCTGTTACAGATGGACGTCCAGTTTTGCCAACACCATTTGTTAAAAAGACTGTCTTTTTCCCATTTAATGGACTTTGGTCCTTTGTTAGTGATCAGCTGACCATAAGTGGATGGATGAGGAAACAACTGTATATGATTTAAGCAAGAATGTGTGTGTGTGTTCAGAGAAGAGGCTGGAAAAGGCGCAGAATCTCTTGCCTCACTCCCAATTTACTAATATTTTTCTTCTTTCCATCCAGTATACAATGTTGACATTTAAAAATTTGAATATGGTGGAACGTGAATAATCAATTCTTGATCTGGGAGATGGACATTCACAGTCTTATCTGCATTTCGACATCGTCTCTAAAATGCTCTTCTCTCTTTCGATTAACAGATATCCAGTCATGTCAAAGCGATTGATACCATCTACCAGAACACAGACTTCTCTGGGATCCGCAACATCAGGTTCATGGTGAAACGAATACGAGTAAGGAGCTTGGCTAGTTAAGGAGATGGAGAAAGGGAGGCAGTGAAGGCTGTGTTTGTACAAAGAGAAAGACTTGCTTTTTATTTCAGCTTTATGCGTTAGTTTAAATTAAATGAATTTTTTCAATATCTATAGCCTTTATGGATCTGAATATGTAAGCCAGATATACCGCCTGTATTTAAAAATAATTATCCTTTTACAAGAGTATCTGCCACAGGGTTTCTTTGTATTTATGCGTTCCTGTTTTTCTTAAAATATGGTTGATAGATTAAAAAATGTCTGAACAAGAGTATTTTGTACATACATGTACTATAATAATAAAGCTGTAGGTGGTCCTTCCTTTAGAAGTAGAATGATTAACTCTTAAATTGGATTGTGTTAAGGTGAAATATGGTTTGTACTTATACAGTATAAGAACTATTCACAATCAATTGCTTTCATGTGTTCTGAGAACAATAGAAACTCTTAGATGAGCAGCTAAAAGTGATAAGTGGTGTAAGCATTGCTATTTAATAGGCAGAGCAATAAATTGCCAAGTAGTGAAAAGTAGAGAACACTTGAACAAATTTTAATGAAACATTTTTAGTAAAATGATTTGCATTATGAAGAAATGCTTGTATATAGATGGGTATTGTGGCATTTCATTGTTTTCAAGCCTTTAACTGAGATGAAACTTTATCTGTTGACAATTTTTGATGACACATTAAATAATTAAAAATTTGTATGATATCAGCAAATATTTAAATATTATCCTATTTTTAACTAATATTTAGATGCCATTCTCCATTTGTAGCTAATATTACAGAAGTGTCAGGGAATTCCGTTTCTATACTCCGTGGGAAACAGCCATCTACAGCATGTCTCTAACCACGGGCCACGGACAGTATAGATGGTGTTGGTTTTGGATTACGTGTGTTAGCTGACCGTGTCTGATTGTGGTTAATGTTAACGGGTGAACCACAGGTTCTGAGGTCTGTCCTCAGGCAGTTGCCCTGACCTTCAGTGTTGTTGTCACCATCCTGCTGCTGAGCCCCTTGGTTTTACTAGTGGGCATGGACTCTGAAAAGAGCTGTAGTTCTCATGTGTCAATCATTATACCATCCACTTGAACTACCGGCGTTTTCAATAGACTGGGGTTTGCCTTCTAGTAAAAACATTTACTTTCATGCATAGCTCTTTTACCCTGTATCAGCAATCTTGTTCGTAACTCCCTGGCTTATCTGGGGAAACAGAATTGTTCTAGGACTTCAGAGCATAGCCAGGGGTCTCTGAAAGGAGGCAGTGGCTAATAAATGAAAACTTTTGTCTAGTAGAAGTTTGGTATCCAAAGAAATTATTCTTCAGTTTATGAAGGAGGAACCTGCACCAGGGGTATAATAAAGGAAGCATTCTGGAGGGTCTGATCTTGAAATAGAGAAATGAATTGGCAGTAGAAGGGAAATAAAATTCTCGCCCACTTGCGGGGGGAAAATCATTGAACTTGCAGTTAGCTGGGCTTGACTCCCTTAACTGGGTAAAGGCAAGGAGAACCAGGACAGCGATTCATCTGCTGAATCGACAGTTTTGGGTTCTATATCCGTTTTATGTTCTAGTAATTAGTGAAAATATATGGATCTTGTCACCATATGTAGGAGATTAACATTAAGGAGACTTGCTTGGATGATTAAGTTTCAGGAACTATACTTCATTAGAGGTTTTGAAAGCTGAACTTGTTCTTGCTTCCCAAGTATTCAATATCAGGAATCTGGTGAACACTTGCCCAGAAATGTAATATCTTCAATTTTAACCCCCCACCCCTCCTTTCTTTTTTCTTTTGGTTCTTTTATCAGCTCAGGGATGGGGGCAGTGGGAACAGCCCTAGAGGCCTTCACTCAGGCATGTTGTTCGTCGAATGTGGAAGGAGGCAAGCAGAAACTCACCCTAAGGCTCTCCTGATGTTCACTGCCTTAAATATCGTTTTGGATTTTAGATCAATTCAACTGCTGATGAGAAGGACCCTACAAATCCTTTCCGATTCCCAAATATTGGTGTGGAGAAGTTTCTGGAATTGAATTCCGAGCAGAATCACGATGACTACTGTTTGGCCTACGTCTTCACAGACCGAGATTTTGATGACGGCGTTCTAGGGCTGGCTTGGGTCGGAGCACCTTCAGGTAGTCCATCTGTGTCGCACTTTGATACTTGAAACCAAAAGCCATTTTCAGGGCAGGGTGAATTTTACAAAGTACTGGAGAAAGTAATGAGTTAGGCAAGATTCATAAACATAATGTAAATGACAAAATAGATGAAGCAGCTTTTTATTTTGATATCAGTGAAGACAGGCCTGACTCTGCTTCTGAAAGGTCACAGCCTTGAAAACCCTACAGAGCAGTCCTACTGTGCGCAGATGGGATTGCCATGAATCTGAATCGATTCAGTGGCAACTAACACCAACAACAACTCACAGGGAGATGTCCTGACGCTCAGTACATTCAGTAGGTGAAATAAATAATTTTATGGGAGAAGAAAGTATTTATTTCTGAAACCAAAAGCAACACTTAATTTTTTAAATAAAAGTTATTAAATATTTGTTCAACCTAGGGGAGTCTTAAGGTCAAAAAGAGTCCCGGTGGCGCAGTGGTTAAGAGCTTGGCCGCTAGCTGAAAGGTCAGAAGTTTGAATCCTTTAGCCACTCCTTGGAAACCCTATGGGGCAGTTCTGCTCTGTTGGTCTGTCCTGTAGGGTCGCTATGAGTCAGAAATGACTCGACAGCAACAGGTTTGGTTTTTTTTTTTGTTTTGTTTTTTTTTTTTTGAGTCCAAAGGGGAAGACTGTGATCGTGCCTTCTGTTGTGTAATGAGTTGAAGAGCAGAAGTCCTGGTCAGGAGCAGCAGGTGGAAAGGAAGGAAAGCCTGCCATTTTCTAGCCTTTATTCTGACAAAAGGAAGGAAGTGTAGCCTGAGAAGAGATGTAGGCAGGAACCCTCAGTCCCCCACTCTGCTGAGGTCTTTACTTTAGCCACAGAGCTACTGTCCTTGAAAAAGTTGGGATAAGATAATCCCCTTCCTAATACAGGGGATGGGCTGAGGCTGTTATTTACAGTGTAATAAATTCAGTAGATTAGAGAAATACAATTTATTAATAGACAAACAACAAAAACAAATCAGTTGCTGTCGAGTCGGTTTTGACTCATGGTGACCTTATGTGTTGTAGATAGAACTGTGCTCCATAGAATTATGCTTTATAGGGTTTCAAGCCTCCAACTTTTCGGTTGGTAGTTAAGTGTTTAACCATTTGCGCTAGCCAGGGACTCCTCTATTATTTGAAAAAGAAATGGGAAGGATCCCAGACTCTGAGTACGATTCTGCCATGTAGACTTTGATCAGTAGCCTGTCATTTTCTGAGATATACAGCAATTTCTCCTTCTTCTGATGCTTCATTTCTGTCTTTTTAGAAGGTTGACAAGCTTTTCTGTTCCCGTTCTTGTTAGTTTACTCTTTGATCTGTTTTACATATTTTAAAATCCTAAGTAGTACTGTATTTTATCTATTTTCTTGCTTTTTTTCTTTTTTAGCCAGCAGTGAGTATCCCTTTACAATTTCAAAAGCTGCTTTTGTTTTTCTTCCCATGATTTAATGTGTACTCAGTTTCCTGATGTCATTAAGATGCTAGTTTGTATCTTGGGCTGCATGTCGTAGTGCAGTGTGTTTGGAGACTTGTCCATCATGATAATCTGTGCGGCTTTTGTATTACTTGTACTGTCAGCAGAGTGTATAGCTCTCCCTTTCCTATGATGTTTCACATGTTCTATAACTTATGCTCTGAAATCTATTTTTTCCTGCTTGAATAGTTGTGTGATTTTATCACACAGTTTATGATCCCTTCCCCCTTTTCATTAGTGAGTAGTGTAAAACAAAGGTTTGCTTTTCTGTGTATGCTGTCCATTAGTACAGTGGTTGTCAAAGTGTGGCCCACAGACCCACAGCATCAGCGTCACATGGGACCTTGTCAGAAACGTGCATTCACTGGCCCCACCCGGGGCTCCTGAATCAGAAACTCTCGAGGTGGGGCCCAACAATTTTTGTTTGAACAAGCCCTCCCGTACGTACTAAAGTTTGAGAATCACCACGTAGATCTTTTTGGCTCTAAAGAAGTTTACTTACAGAATGTCTCCTGGGCAAGTGATTGGATGATCTCAAACTAAAAACTTCCTGTCGTTTTGCATTTTCAACTATTAACTGTTATCTATTAAGAATGTAATGTTACTTTGGGTTGTTAACCTTTGTCATAGGGCAATATGTGTACTAACTGTTTAATGAGAAACGATTTGTTTGGTAGACCATCTAAGGTACCAAAAGAAAAAAAAAATTATGTGAAAGCAAATTGACAACAGCAACTCAAGGGGCTTGATGGGAAGCCTAGGGGGCAGTGAGTTGAAGATAATGGTGATGGAGTAATTTGGAGAAGGATGGTGAGAATAGCAGCACAAATGGAAGAATGTAATAGATGTTACTGAATTGTACATGTAGAAACTTCTGAAATGGTGTATCTTTGGCTATGTATATTTTCACAAAAAAAAAAAGGTCCTCCAAGGTCGAGAAGGGAGATGGTTGACATGTCATGGGGTTGTTGACCAATGTCATAAAACAATATGTGTACTGACTGTTTAATGAGAAACTATTTGTCCTGTAAACCTTCACAAAAAAAAACAGTGTAATGTTCCGTTTGTCACAAGTAGTGAAGCCAATATAGAGACATTGTTATAAACTAGAGTCCCTGTTTTATTCAGGTTTGTTTTGTTTTTGCCTAATATTCTTCTGTTTCAGGATCCCATCCAGGACACCACATTACCTTTGGTTGTCATGTCTCCTTAGGCTTCTCTTCTCTGACAGTTTCTCAGACTTTCCTTGTTTTGACGACCTTGATAGTTTTGAGGAATACCAGTGTGATATATTGTAGGATGCCCCTCTATTGGAATGTGTCAGATGTTTTTCTCATGATTAGGCTGGGGTGGGTCATTCGTTTTTGGGATACTTAGTTTTTTATCGAATTGTTTGTGATACTTGTATAACCACTGTACCACTCACTTACTGAAGCAGGGATACGCAGAACTCTCATCCAAAACTGATGGGACAAGTTACTTGTGTTTTTGTCGTTGAGTTTGTTGTAAGAATGATGCAGGATACTTCTGTATGCTTTGTTCGCAAAGATAATGACATTTAGCACCTAAAACTATACAACAGGACTTGTCATCCACCTTCTATCCACATTTTTCTTCCATATTACAATCCTTCCCCTTTACTTCAGGCATCTAATACCTTCTTCTTTACTTCATGTTATACCCCCAACTCTAACCTTTAAAAACCTTTTCCTAGGAGCCACTGGGGCAGGCAGGATGAGAGGAGCAGGAGCCGGAGTGGGAAAGAGAAAGGATCTTCATTCCTTTGGCCCAGCTTTTTCTAGTGTTGAGTACCAGCCTTAGCACAACATTGACAGCTGTCTTCTTCATGTCCTCTTGCCCTCAGGCTAGCTGAAGTGATTTTATATTTGACTTAACATTTTATCTTTTACAAGGAACTTTGTGTGTTTGGTCTCCTTGATTCTTTCAGTACCCGTATGAGGTAGGTATTATTACCGCCTTTCTACGGAAGAGAAACTTGGCTGCAGAAATTTTGTGACCAACCTAGTATCACGCAGCTAGAGGTGGAACAGAATCTGGAATCCAGATCTTTTGACTCAAGATCCGATGCATTTGGTACTTACTTTATTAGGTACTGTACAGTGTAACAGGAGCCCTGGTGGCACAGTGGTTAAAGCACTTGGCTGTTAACCAGAAGGATGGTGGTTTGAACCCACCAGCTGCTCCAAGGGAGAAGGATGTGGCAGTCTGCTTCTGTAAAGATTTACAGCCTTGGAAACTCTTTGAGGCAGTTCTAGTCTGTCCTACAGGGTCACTGTGAGTCGGAATCTACTCGATGGCATCTGGTTTGGGTTTTTTTTGGTTTATATCCTGTAACATCCTAGTCTTCTCTTTCTAAGACATTTCTAATAAGAAGTTGGAATGTTACCTGCTTCTTAGTAGAAGTTTTATGTGGTTGGAATCCATTTCCTTCATTCCTAAGGGACGAGTTATAAAATAGTACTACTGCTCTGTAATTTTAGAAATCATTCTGGGTAATTGTCCTGGCATCATAGGAAGAGCCCCGGACTGGGAACTAGGAGGCTGTGTGCTTGTCTGTTCTGCCTCTATAAGTTCAGGTAAATCATTTTGCTTTCAGTTTTCTTATATGCAAAATAAAGTGTTAGAATAGGCCCCTAAGGAATCTGTCAGTAGTCATATTGTGTGGTTTATATAGTAGTTAAAGGTCAGGAAAGTGTATGAACATGTTATTTATTTTCCTGAATAAATCTCATACTCCCACACTTGTTCCTTCCCAACACATACATATACACACACTTTTCTGTATTTCAGAGGGCTTACAGCCCTTGAGAAGTAAGGTTTTTTTTTTTTTTTTTTTAAACATCATAATTTCTTTTGTCTTTAAGACTTTATGTTTCTGCCTGTAGGTCTTAATGATATCTTGTTCTTTTTAAATAGCGCTTCATAGCTGATTTATTCGGCCTGTGATCTGTGAGTGTTTCTTAATCTTTTTTCATTTTTACTTGGCCTAGTTAATCTTTGTTCGTCCTGTTCTGTTGTATTATTTGGCTTAATTTCATTTTACTCTGCAGATACTTCACTACTCAAGTGTGGTAGAAAGGATTTTGTTGTGCCATTCTTATGTTAATTCTCACAGAATAGATTTTTAGCTGTAGTCTGTTCGCTGACTCAGCTGAGCCGGGAAAAGCAGTGAGGGTTGAAACATTGGAATAGTAGTTTTCTTGTCTTTGAGTCTTTTTTTTTTTTTTTTTTTTTTAACACTATTTGTAAATAAATTGGTTCTTATTTAATAGCATCTTGTAACCGGCTGCTGCCCTGGATTTCCTTACTGCCCCACTAGGATTCCACGTGCGTTCAGTTGTCATGTCATGGACAGACAGACAGCGAGTTGTCCCGGCTAGGAGGTTCCCGTTTGAAGTTATACAGGACTACGCGCGAGCTAATAATGAGTCTGGTCTCCAAGAAAAAGGCAGTCTTAAATATGGAACTGGAAACATTACTTTAAAGTTTTCT